TAATATTAAAATTTTATACAATTAATCATTTTATTCATTTTGTTTTAATAAAGAAAAAAAAGTAAAAAAATCATTCAAAATTTTAATTAAATTCTTTTAATAAAATTTATAGGTGAGATTTTAGTATGTATAAAAAAGAAATATGAAGAAAAATATTAAAAAAATGACCAATTTTTTCGGTAATAAAGTTATATTTGCATAAAAAATTCTTGTTAGAAGCTATTTAAAGAAACTTATTTTTAAATATTTAAAATTCTAGAATTTTAGTTAATGATTTTTTGCAAAGATTTTACATTTAAAGGGTGAATTTTGAAAGTTTAGATGTTTTATTTGTAATATTTGAATTAAAATGAGGAGAACTAGGTAAAAAATTTTGAGTTAGAATAAAATTATGATGATTCAATAATGAATGGTCTATGAAAGTTATTTGAAAATAATATGAATGCATTATTCTTACTCATAATATAAATTGTTTATAATTTATGTATACACACATATATGTCATTGATGACATAATTTTATTTCTAAAATTATTGTACATAGAATAATTCTAAATTTATTAAAATATTTAATGGAAATAGGAGAATAAAAGATACATTGTGATAAACATAATAAAAAATGTTATTTTATATGCATATAGAAGGAATGTTAAGTAGGTCGAAGACTTTTGTGTACAAAATGTATTTCAAGCTAATCACATAATTAACATAAGATAGTTGATTTTGAGGATGCAAATAGATGGATAAAGTAAAAGGAAAAGGAATGTATAGAATAGTTAAGTGAGTAATCATCTGAAATTTGGAGATAATTTTAATCTTCAAAATAAAAAATAAATAGTTTACTTGAAACCATAGAATTAAATCTAATTGCGATTTTATCACCAACTTTACATAAACTAAAAGAGAATCTAAAAACAAATAATATTTTCAATATAGCTTAATCATTATCAGAGTTTAATTTTTAGACTCCAAAATAATAAGAATAAGTGATTGATTTGTAGTATTTGGAGGAAAAAATGAATATTTGTGTTATTTTATTGGAAGAGTTGAATACAAAGGTTCATTAATTAGATAGTAGATTTTTTTGGAAATAAATAAAGAATTTTAATGGACATGAAGATGTAATTTATTCATTAGATATATCATCTGATGGTAAAAGAGCAGTAACAGGAGGAGGAGATATGTAAATAAGATTGTGGGATTTAATAAATTATGTATAAATTGGTAATTCAATACAAGCACATGAAGGAATTGTATGGTGTGTAGCTTATGGATAGAATTGTATTATTTCTGGTAGTGATGATAATACAATTAAATATTGGAATGATTAAACAATGAAGATGATAGATGTAAAATATACAAATGATCCAGTATTTTCTTTAGAATTAAATTAAGATTAAACTCTATTAGCATCAGGTATTAACAATTTGATAAATTTATGGAATCAAAGTGATAGAAAGTAAATTGGAATTTTAAAAGGGCATACAGATTATGTAACATCTTTATCATTTTAAACACATTTTTTGGTTTCAGGATCAAAAGATAAAACAGTTAGATTATGGAATATCTAGACTAAATAATTGATTAATATATTCTCTGGAAATTAAAACACTATAAGAAGTGTAGCATTTTCTAAAGATGGTAAATATATTGCTTCTGGAGGTTATGATAAAATAATTAGAATTTGGAATCAAAGCAATAATAAAATGACATAGCATGATCATGGTGATATTATATGGAGCATTAGATTTTTAGATAATCAAACACTTTTAAGTGGAGGTAAGAATGCTAAAATTAAATTTTGGAATTTAAATGAAAGTCAAAAACAAGATATGGCTATTGAATGTGAGAGAGGAATTATGACTATGTCAATTACAACTTCTGGCAATACTATTATAGCTGCTACCAATAAAGATATATGTATATTTGAAAGACCTATTTGAGTTTATTAAGCTTTTTTATTTCAAACTATATTATTTTAATCATAGTTAAAACATTTTGGTTGAAACATTATATAAATTACAATATTATTAATAATATAATTTTCTAGTACTTTTGAGTAAAGAAAGCTATTAAATGAAGAATAGGAACTGCAATTGTGAATGAGTTATTAAATTAATATCTTAAAGTTCAATTTTAAGTTTAAGTTAATAATGAATTTAGAATAAATTTTGTTTTTATCATTTTATTTATCTATAAAGACATTCTTTTGGTTTTGGATAAAGTTTCTCTAATACTGTTTCATAATTCTAGATTGCTAAATTTTAATTTGTATCAGTTAAATATATCCAATACAAATACCCATACAGTTTTCCATCTTTTTCTACAAATATTTGAGCCTATTTTATTTTAATATAAAATCTTTTTCCATTAAAATTTTACACTTCTATCTCAAAAATTTATTAATCGTTAGAAACTGCTTCAAAAACTTGATGCCAAACCTCTAAATAATTATCTACTCTAATAGCACATGGAAGTGTTTTAGTTTCTCTCAAATATTCTTCTAACATGTCAATTGTAATACCCATCAGATGAAGAAACTTTATGTTATGAGTGTATTTTAGTATAACAGATTCATTTCTTTCATGACGAAATGTATAACATTCATAGGGATACTTAGAAGCAAGTTACTCAATTTGAGATATTTCAAGTTATGTAGAACAAGGGATCTATGATATTTACTCATATCTCTATAGATATTTGCTCAAATTAGTATGTGCTTTTTCCATGTTTAACAATCTCAACATCTAAAATATCGTAGAAATGTCAGCTAATTCAAAGTCTCTAGCTTAAAAATGATATTCCATTTTCTGTTGTTAAATTTCACTGTGAGAAACACAATACCCAATACTGAATATATTTATTCCTAATTCACCAAGAGTATTGTCACTGAATGTTGTTAAAGCAAATTATACATTTTCTTTAGTTCTAAAGTATTAGTTCTGATTAATGTTTCTTGGTATAATAAATGAGGTCTTAAATTCTTTGGGTTATAGAATAGAATTAGAAGACTATTATTTGATTTTTGTATTTTATTTCTTTTTCTTAATGTATTAATTCAAAGCAGGTAGAGCAATCTTGGTGGATGGATTATTTATTTCCATTTTAAAAGAGTTCATTTTATTTATATTTTAAAATAAATGTATCTTTACAGCTCATTAAACAGAATGCAATGCTATTTTATTGATCTATTTTTAGAATAAAGAGATAAAAATATAGTATTCTAGTATTTATAAATTTATTTTAGTTACTTGAATACTCATTTACTATTGGATATTAATATTAGATATAATAAGATGAAAGAATAATATTATTAAGAATTATAAATAAAGAGTTGCATAAATAATTATTCTTAATAGTTTTTATATTATGATTGCAATGAATAATCTAACAAAAATATATCAATTAATTTTTTCTAAATGATAACAAACTGATTCAATAATATTATTTAATGTAGAATCGCCTGATGTTTTAAAAATAACTGAAGCATATTTTGGAGTTCCATCAATTAATTATTTTAAATCGTCCCATCTTTTTAATCTAAAATAAATAATAACAATAAAAATTACCTTAATTATACAACATCTCTTTTTTCATTAGGAGCAATAATTAATCTTGATTTGACTTCTTTATCTGCTTCATCAAGTGAATTATAAACTCTTCCTGTAATAGGATCTGTTCTACGCTAAGTTAATCTTCTAAGTATAATATCATCAGCAGCATCAATAATAACAATTAAAGTAGGTTAAATGTTAAGTTCATTTAAAGATTCCAATTATTTTTCAGTTTTAGGATAACCATCAAGTACATAACCCTATAATTAACAATCAGTCTAATTAATTCTTTCTTTTATCAGTGCATTTATAATTCGATCATCTACTAAATCTCCTTTATTAACTTTTTCAAATGCCTCCTTACCAGTACTACCTTTTTAATTAACTAAATTCGAAATCAATTCTCTTGTTGATATATAAACAAATCCATATCTTTAACATAAATGTTTAGCTAATGTAGATCTTCCTGATCCTGGAGGTCCTATTACAATTATTCTCCCTGCTCTTGTAGGTGCATTATTATATAATTTATATTTCAATCGTTGCTATATTACACTTATAAAATACAGCCATATCTTCTAATTCATAATTTTTTTCTCCATCTACAGAAAAATATTAATTCTTATAAATCTCCTTTACTTATTTAAGATTCAATTAATATTCTAATGAATGATTTCTTGCCAATTCTTCTTTATTATTTAATTTACTCAATGCTTCTGTCTCTAACTTTTTTAAACAACATTAATATATTTTCTCTTCAGACATTTCTAATATAAGAAATGCATCAGGAATTATTCCTTCTTTCTAAAATGTTAAACCTTAAACTCTTGTTTTTGGAAATCCTTCAAATATATAACTCTTTTTTTCATTTTCTAAATGTTACATTTAATTCAATGCAATATTAATAACAATTTCATCGTTTACATATTAAAATTTATCTAAAGAATCTTAAATTTGTTAACTCTAATGCATAATTTAATTATTATACTAATTCTGATTTCTTGCTTAACTCTTTTTCAATCAAATCACCTATAGAAACACAATGGAAATTCATGTATTCAGCAAGTGTAAGAGAAAGCTCAAGTAATTTTGATCCAGGAGGTCCTATTACAAATATTTTTTTGGCTTTAATCAAAGTTTAAATATACTTTCTGGTTCTTATAATTTATTAATCAAAAATTGTATTGGATCATTAGGCTTTTTAATTATGAGTGCTTTAAGTAAATCCTCAAAGATATTATACACTTTGTTTCTTTCTAAGTATATTTCAACCTATTATTAGTATTATAACTTATTTGCCTAATCCATAAGTTATACTTTTTAATTTAAGAATATTTATATATTTTTATCTATATTAATTTTAAATATATACAATTATAAATTCAAGAGATGGCTATTTAAAATTTGCAATTCACCATCAAATTATATAATATATTATAATAAAGATTTGCAAATCAAATCATTTGATCATTCATCATCTGAATTTGAATCTGAATCCAAACCACTAATTATTAATTCATGATCTTATTTATCAAGCATAGATGAACTACCATTTTCTCTATTTTCAATAGCTTGAACATTTCTCAACAATTTTTATCTCAATTCTTCATCTCCTTCATTATAACTATCTTCTCTTCTTGAATAATCTTATTTTCTTTGATCATAATCATCATAAGGTGTACTTTATTTTGTTGAAACTTCATTTCTTGATGTATAATTTTCTTAAAGATGAAATTTCTTAATATGATTTCTCAATGGCAATTTACTCGTATATTATTTACCACAATACTTACAGTTTGTCTTTTCCTTATTCTAATTGAACATCGATTCTGTATCATGAGATCTCTTCTTTAAATTCAACAATGAACTATTGTTTTTATTGTAACTACTGTCTCCTAACTTGATTTGATTAAAAAGCTTTGTGTATTTCTCAGTTAATAGTTTTTATTCATTGAGGTAATTGCTAATAAAGTCTGCTAATTTATAGTTCATATAATTAATATCAAAATCTAAAAGAGTTTTGATCATAACCTGAAGACCAATTATTTATATGATTTTAATTCATCAAATTTAATTAATTATTATTTCAACTTCTCAAATATCTATACTTATAAATCAAACTTTATATTAATCTATTATATAATTATCTATTATATTTAATGAAATGACTGACAAATCTTCAATTTAAATTACAAAACTCTCCAAAAAACTTAATCAAACTATTTTTATGTATAGAGATTTATTGACTAAATAAGCTCATCTTAGGGCACAATCTTCGAGAATAGACTTCACCTTAATTCAAATTAATTATTGTAAAAAAATAAAAATTTTAGATTATCACTACTAAACTTATATCAAATTTAATCTCTTCAAAATATTTTTTCAGAAACTATAGATTTTTCAAAACATTTGGTTTTTTCAAAAGATGAATTACTTTTTGGATAACGTTACTTTTTCTAATAACTATTTTATATTTTATCCCTTTTATTAAATAAATAATACTATGTTATTTTTTATTCAATGCACTTAAAAGATGATTCTTTTGTGAAAATGGACTTATTAATAATTCATAGCGTTTCAACAGAATTTAGAATTTAAACCATTAATTTCTATAACTAAAATTATACTCTCAATTTTTATTAAGTGGATTTTATAATCTTATTTAAAGTGTTTTAGTTATTTAAAAAAAAAAAACTTAGAATAAATTAAAATTAGTTTTTAAAAAATAATTAATAAGAAATAACTTTCTATTCTGTGATTATTAAATAATTTATAGAGTTTTCAACTTTTTTTTTTACCTGAATTTCAAAAAAAATTATTTTTTTTAATTTTATTTAAGATCAAATAAATAGGTTATTAGAAGAATTATCTATTATTAGTAATTTATTTAAAAAAACTCGAGAAAAAATATAGAAGAAAATTTTAGGCAAAATCGAATTAATTCAATCAAATATTTGTAATAATTATTTTAATGTCACAAAGTTAACGTGATAAGTTCGCAAATTAAAATCAAACTAATTTATCAATCACTGATAATTCTATTAAAATAACAAACAATTTTATTTTATTAAATAAAAAAAATTAAATTATGGCATATTTAGGTTATATTAAAATTTGATTACTTATATCCTTAATCATAGTTACTAAATAAATTTAATTAACTATGTTTTTCACCAAATATTTTTGTTTTGATTTTTATTTTTTTATAAAATAATTATAATTAAGCTTTTATTATAATGTTTTAAAGCAGTATTAGTAATGTTTAAAACTTCAAGAATAAATTTTTAGAACTGAATATTAATTGATGATAATTAATTTTATTTTTTTTAAAATGCAAAAGTAAGTAAATGGAATGAATAAGTCTTTCAATCTCAGTCGTTAATCATCTCTATCATCTCAAAAATCCAGCTCAGATAAACAAAAATAAAATAATTCTTATATTTCGTTATCTCCTCGTTTTGATCCGGAGAAAGGATTGGCTTTTGAAAACTGCATTAAAGAGGTTAAAATAAATAATGATGAAACAGATGAACCTTAATAACAGACTTAAGGTTAGTAAAAAGTTGGAAAAATATAAAAATAATCAAGCTTTACCTTAAAAACAGCAAAGGATGAATCAATGAAAAAAAGCTAATTCAGTAGAATTTAAAGAGCAGATAGCTTGAATCCTTAGAAAAGCCAATGAAATTAGATAATTTAATTTTCATTATTGAAAAAATACAATTTAAATAGTTATTTTTAGTTAAAAATAAATTTCTTGATCTGGATGATGGATAGTTTCCAAAATTGAAATAAAATGTCAGATTTTTTATGAAAGTTCAGTAAATGACATTATTTTGGGTTTGAAAAAAAAAATGATTGAAGTTTTCTTTTTTCATCTAAGTATTAATAAATAGAAATTAATTCTGGGGTCTGCAAAATTAAAAATTGTTCCTAATAGATAAAAACAAGGAGTTATCTAATTTAACTAATTAGAATTAATTATAAAACATATTTATATAGAATCTGTTCTATTCTGTGTTAATAATATTTAAATATAAAATGAGTATGTAATAAGAATATGATTACCTTTTCAAGATACTTTTGATAGGAAACTCCGCAGTAGGTAAATCGTCATTGTTACTTCGATTTGCCGATAATGTATTTAACGAAAGTTTTTTACCCACAATTGGTGTAGATTTCAAGATCCGTACTTTTGATTTGAATGGGAAAACAGTAAAGTTGTAGGTAGAATGAAAATAAAAATTAGATTTGGGATACAGCTGGATAAGAAAGGTTCAAAACAATAACAAACTCTTATTATAAAGGAGCTCATGGAATTATATTAG